ATCGTAAGTAAACTATTGCCTAGAGCAGTTAAATTCATCATTTTTGTGGTGCTATTATTTTGTACTACCCACAACTTTTAAAAGGAATTAATATTAATATAAAATTATTTAAACTAGACACATTGTTTTATTATAGAATTGAAATGTAGAAGTCGATCAGATTTTATATGATCCGTATTTATTTTTTAATTAATTTTATAACAGTGTAATGTATCACTTTTGTGTTGGCACTATGTTGTGCTACCCGCTTGACTTTCGTGAAATTTATTTTAAAGAAGTCAATATGAACGTAGAATTTATTTAAAATGGGCACATTGCTTCATTATAGACTTTAAAGGGATATGTACATTACATTTTGATGCAGGGACTTTATGATTTAATTGCGTAGAAGATTAGAAGTTTTTTATTGTGATCTTTGAATACTATATTGCAGGTATGTTTATAATTAATGTTGTGTCTTTTAAGCCATTTAGATTTATTAATCAACCTTTTTAGGAGTTAGTTATTAGTTATAAGTTACAAATATATATTTATAACATATAGTTTTTTGTTATATAGTTATACGTTATAATTTATAACATATAAATGACAATATAAATATTTTATGTTATATATATTGAACTATAATATATAAAACATAATATATTAATAACCTTATATGAATATAATTTATGATACAATAGTTTTATACTGAAATATACATTCTATTGTTTTAAAAAAAAAATTATTTCACAGTAATTTGGACGTTTATCAAAGATTGGTGGTGAGTTTAGTAATCTTAAGTAAACTTCTACTTATAATAGTGTAATGTATCAGTTTTGTAGTAGCACTATGTTGTGTTACCCACTCAAATTGTATAAAATTTATTTAATGAAGTTAAAATAAATGTAGAAATTAATTCAGCTTCATATATTTTTTCATTATAGAGTTTAAATGGAAACGTGTGCTGGATGACCTAGAAGTTAAATAATGGAAGTTCTTTACTGTGGTGTTGCTAGACTACATTGTAGGTTTGTCTTTAATTAATTTTATATTAGTGCAATGTGTCATTTATGTGGTGGCACTATGTTGTGCTACCCGCTCAACTTGCGCCACCCGCTCAACTTGTGCCAAATTTATTTTTAAAAAATCATCATGCATATAAAAATTATTTAAAATTGATTTAAAAAATCATGATTTTAATCTTCTAATTTGGGAAATATTTTTTTCTTACTTAATAGAATTTCATAGTTCTAAAATTTAAGGATCTATCATCTGTTGTATATTTCAAAGAAAAGAATTGAAATTTTATTTTTTAAAACCTATACATAGGAATTTTCATTGAGGGATCATGTATATCAAGAATACATAACTTATTAACATTTTGTAGTGATATTATTATTATTTAAGTTATATATGAGCTAGTAAAGTCTTATAACATATATATTGTAAAGTTAGGTAGATATACACCTATTTATTTGACCGCCAAAGTGCAAGTAAATAAAAAAAAAAAGTAAAGTATAGAATGAGACCAGTTACCTTTTATACAAGGTGGTCACATTAATCTTGACCATTGGATGTGAAATTGGACCAAGCACAAACTTCAAAAGAAATTCTTGAACTTTGTGACATATCCAAGCT